TTTGTGTTGAAGGCCTTCGCCAATTTCAATGTCTCAGTCTTGAGGATTGTGGAGCCGATTTCCACGACAATAGGTGTGTTCTGTTTTTCCGCTGTTTTTCCGCGAACTCGGTATATGTCCTTAATGTCGTTTTTTTTATGTTGCTCTGTATGTTTGCAAAAAGGCATGCAGTCATTTCTAAAAGATCTTCTTTGGTCTCCCCATTTTTTCTCGGCACATTTTTAATCATTAAGTTGCTTTTCCGACTTTCCGTTTGCGTGTCCTCAATTTTATTTTCTAAAGTAAAGATATATTTTTTGTCTTCTTTAGACTGCATTTCGAGTCGGTTTATCTTCTCTTGGAGGTCAGAGTTTTGTGCTGTTAAGAACGCGATCGACTTTTCTATGTGTGTATTTGACTGTTGAATCTCCAGTAATTTTAAATTAATTTTTTGTGTCTCTTTCTCTTGTTTTTCTGTAAAGGACGAGAGCATTTTTTTCATCTCTTCTTTGAAATCATTTAATTGTTTGGTTAGTGAATCATCCATATCATCTCTGCTTCTTTTGACGCGTTGGAACACATAGTTAGGTGGAGTTTTATGTGTGCCCGCTGTATTAACTTCCGTGTCTGACAAAGACTTGTTCAGGATGTTAAGATCCGAGGTGTTCATCCTTTATGTAAAATCAAAGTAAGTTGACTCACCGAAAAGGTAAGGTACTGTACTGTGTAGTTTCGTAGCAGGCAAGCGACGACAAGGGGCGCGAGGAGTGTAGCTGCGTAGGTACCACAGAGCGCTAGCAATAGCTATAGGTATGTAAATATTGCTGTATGCGTGATTAGTCAACACGGCGGCGCGCGCGGCGGGCGCAGTGGCGACAGTCCCCAGCGATGCCAGAAAGGGATGGCAATTATCAGGGTACTCTCGTTCTCGCGGCTCGAGGCTCGGGGGGCTTCTGACGCGGTGACTCCTCGCACAGTGTTTTGCAATTAACTAGTCTATTGTACTAGTTAGTGGAACTATAATCGCAGTTAAAGTAATTAATATTTCTTAAGAATTTAGACAACACGTCTGTACTGGACAACGGTTTGGACGAAAGAGGAGGAGGAACAATGTAATACCCACTTTTCACTATTTATGTTATGAGTCCCATGTAATAGGGGGTGAGCCTATTGCCATATACCGGGCACTATTCCAGACTCCGTGCTACTACTGGGATTAAAAAAACCCAGTAATACTTTTCCCAATCCGTGAATCGAACCGAGACCCCTTGTCGAGTCGCACTTGCGACCACTCGGCCGATGAGGCAGTCCAATTACATATTATGACTTGATTATACCGAGTATATAATACCGAGTGAAAGGTAGGTTTTACATTGTTTATCTAATTCTAATGTGCACCTTCTCTACCTACCCCTTTCGGGGAATGAAACAATACATTGACATTTCAAATATACATCGAAATTACTAAATTCAACAACGATTTTCATCTTCAAAATGCTTTATTAATATTTTAATAAATACCTGGAATTTGAACATAGGTCTTCAGAATCGAATTAAAAACCTACTTTTATCGATTAATAAAACTCCTTACTGTAATACAATACAATATACAGACCTAATCGATCGTCCTAGATTAGGGTTCATGAAACTTCTACTCGAATTTGGACCTTATTTCAAAGTGATATGGCCGGTTCTTGCTAATGGTTCGTGGGTTGACCGCACATATTGTCTTAACAATTAATTCTCTATGCTTTGTTAACTGTCTGGGGCACACATCAAGCTATGCTAAACCAGTATAAACTGACCGTTGAATTTGCAGAAAGTTCGTATAAAGCAAGACCATGATAAATTGGTTTATTATAGGTAGTTCGATGTGTAGCCGTGTGTAATGTGACGTCATACGGGATATGTGTGAGAGTGCCATGTTGCGGCCTGAATGGGCTGGCTCGACCGGAGTGATACCACGGCCTCACAGAACACCGACGTGAATTATTTCACGTCACGTCAAATTTCCAATTCTCACAAGGCCGGTAACGCACTTGTAACGCCTCTGGTGTTCCAGGTGACCATGGGCGGCGCCGATTGCTTACCATCAAGTGATCTGTCGGCTTGTTTACTGTTTACCGGCTTATCTCATAAAAAAGTTGTCCTATAAATGTTGAATAAAAGATCAGTCAACGAGGGAATGGCAACGGCAATAGTATCTATCTAAATGTTCTATTTCTATTTTATCATCTCCGAATCGCCTACCAATCATGGGGATTATGGTAAAAGTACCTCTTAAGAGCCAAGCTTTTGTTTAACAGTGGATGATTACTATATTTTTATTTTTTACTAGTTTCTATCAGCGGTTTTCCCCGCGTTGTCGTGGGATAAAAGTAGCCTGTGTTATTCCGGACCACTAGCTACCTTTGTTTCAAATCACATCCCGGCCCCTTCAGCTTTTTCGACATGGAGGAGTAACGAACAAATAAACTTGTTTGTTTATTTATTTGCTATCGCATTATAGTATGATTTACATTGATGCGAATTCGCTACGCAAAAAAATACGATGCGAATTGCTGCGATGCAATTTCGTGCGACAAGGCGTCTCCCAGGGTGACCACTTTGACGACCGTCAACCGTACTTAACGTATTTTAAATTAAAAAGTAGGTCAAGAAATGGATCGTAAAAAGAAGTGTGCACATTATAGGAAAAAGAAATAAAGTAGATTTTGGGAAGATAAGATTTTAGATAGGCTGCCTTGTTGACCGAGTGGTCGTAATTGCGACTGCCGGGCAAGGGGTCTCGGGTTCGATTCTCGGGTCGGGCAAAATATTACTGGGTTTTTCCAAAAAATCTCAGTAGTAGCACGGAGTCTGGAATTGTGCCCGGTATATGGCAATAGGCTCACCCCCTATTACATGGGACTCATAACATAGATAGTGAAAGGTGGGTGTTACATTGTACAGTGGCATTAAGTGCCGTAATGTACACCTCTGCCTACCCCTTCGGGGATAAAAGGCGTGATCTTATGTTATGTTGTTATGTTAAGATTTTCCTGTGCGATGCGAATCAAATCGCAAGTTCTTGCGATGCATAGAGGGAACTCGCACATTTTTGCTATGCGACGTCGCATCGCAGTTTTGTGTACGAGCCCTTAGTGTCAATTAGTTCGACTAAGGTTTAAATGCTATTTGTCTAGGTCTAACAAGGGGGACAGCTCGGTGTACCATGACGATAACCGATAAACACTACCCCTATTACATGGGACTAGCTATGGCATTCTAACGGTAATCAATTGTACCTCTGTCTTTAATTTAAATTACCGTACAATAAAGTCTTTTGCCGCTTCTCTCTGTCTATTAGTGATTTGAAAAACGAATGAATAAATTATTTTACGGTTTTCTCCTTTACAAAAGAAGCAATGAGACATTTTTAACAGACCAAGTTTATAAGCGGACGCTCCTACCGAGTTTCTATTAAATATCTCTTCAGTCATTCGACAAATGTGTTCTACTCTGCTTATAATGTATCATATAAAAGTTGTGATGTTTCGTTTTAGTTTGCAATGGAAAGCAAGAGTATACATTCAGTAACATGGTACCTATTACGTGGTCATCGAGTTGGCAAAACGCCCAAATGAGCATGACGTCACAGGCGAAATGAGAAAATTGTTGGCATTTCTTATAATAATGTAATTGTCCTGGCATTTCTTATAATAATGTAACTGCCTCGTTGGCCGAGTGGTCGTAAGTGCGACTGCCGGGCAAGGGGTCTCGGGTTCGATTCCCGGGTCGGGCAAAGTATTACTGGGTTTTAAAAAAAAAATTCAGTAGTAGCACGGAGTCTGGAATTGTGCCCGGTATATGGCAATAGGCTCACCCCCTATTACATGGGACTCATAACATAAATAGTGAAAAGTGGGTGTTACATTGTACAGTGGCATAATGTGCACCTCTGCCTACCCCTGCGGGGATAAAAGGCGTGATGTTATGTTGTGTAATTGTCCCTACTGGCTTTATACTATAAGATAATAACTCGAATAATTTTGTCTCTGAATATCTGAATAAAACGAGCACGGGGTCTGCAATGGAATTCTTAGGTGCACTCCATATTGCATGATTGTTTGTTTGTTTGATTGTTTAAACGCGCTAATCTCAGGAACGACAGGTTCGAATTTAATTATTGATTTTGTGTTGAATAGTCATTCATCGAGGCTAGGTATAAGCTACCATCACGCATCACCCTATGACTAATAGGTAAAGGCCGAGCAGCGGGGGAAATTGCGCAGGAATGTATATATTAAGTAATGCAAAGTAACTTAAGAGTAAGAGTGGAATTCTTTGCCAGAATCTGTATTTCCTTAAGGGTATAACCTGGGAGTCTTCAAGGCCCGTGTCAATAGGTTGCTTAAGGGACGACGTGCTCCATCATAGACCGCATCATCGCTGACTACCAGGCCAGATAGTGGTCAAACGTCGCCCCATGAAATATAAAAAACTTAAATAACATATAATGTTTGTAATTATTGCAATTCTTTAAGCCTTTAACTGCCGACTAAAACTGTTGAAGACTAATCCTCCGCTAATATCTTTCATCATTGTCTGACGCGGCATTGAGTGTTTAGCCATGTAGCCTATATATCATACAACTACTAGAAGAGATGCAAAACTTGCATGAACCAATTTTGCGTGGCGTTTGTGTCATACATTACCGGAGATCCATACAACTCTCTCTAATGCCTCGTTCACACTACGCTAGTATTTTAGTCGAGTAGCGAATATTCAGTAGTCCTCGAAGTGACAGGCAATTACAAAATATTCGCAACTCGACTAAAATACTAGCATAGTGTAAACAAGGCATAGGGCCTGGCCACAGCTGGGTGGTAACGCACTTGTCACTTTTCTAGAGATGCGAGTGCTCATGAGCAGTCATTATTGTTAGTTCTAATGTAATATATTTATAATCTAATTATTATGAGCCCATGAGGTAAATATCTAAGTACTACTTTCTAAAAATTTATTTATATTTGTTCCAGGTGGATTTGTATAGGGAGATCACATTCCGTAACTCAGGACAGACGTATAAGGGAGTCCCTGTCATGGCAAGCAATATGGACACGGTAGGCACTTTCGAAATGGCACGCGAACTTTCTAAGGTAAGAAAATAACAAACAAATATATTTATTCCCATTTTTTCACCTATACATAATCTAAGCTTATTAATTAACTATTCTAAGTAGGTTACAATACAATGCCTGTATAAAATTCAATCTGTATCACAGGCGTTAGAGCTGCGGAAGACTTAGCGGGTTGCCGGAGCTCCGGCTCGAAGTGCAGAAGTAGGAATGGGGTGGTTTTTATTCAGTAAGAGTCTGACACTCCCTCCCGCCTAACTCAAGGCGGGAGAAGACATTCGATGATTTTCCCCCTCAGAAAAAAGATCGCATTGTACTATTATGATAATACTATTAGGCCTTAATAATATTATTTTTATAATCACTAATATTTACGAAGAAGAAAATTATTATACGCAAAAGAAAATCTTTAATTTTTACTCACAACAGATGGCGCTTCGAGTGAGTTAAGTCATGTTGCCTTATAACCTCAATAATTATTCAATGTCAAAACTGTACGACCCTTATCGTAGCTGTTAAAATACCATTTAGAGTACGGAATATAAAACTAAACTCAATATCGTTTTCATTAAATATCCACGCAATGCGGATGTTATGGGCCCTAGTGTTGCAACTCAAGAGTACGATATTTCATAATAACAATGTCGATCGATCGGAATTGGATTCAAGAGTAAGCACGGACTAGCTGTAGCTGTCAACAATTGACTGTCCTATACTTTGATATTAATCCTAATGATAATGACATTAATCCTAATGTCACAGTCAATTTTTCAATTAATTAGATAGTTTGCAATAATCCACTCTCTTTAAGACGTCATGCTACAACCGATGCTAACACCATCTAGTAAGCAAAAACGTTACCCCTCATTAGTGTTGCCGTTGCACTATAAGGGCTCACACAAAACTGCGAGGCGATGCGAAATTGCAACGCAAAAAATTACGATGCAAATTGCTACGATGCGATTTCGTGCGACAAGGCGTCTCCCAGAGTGACCAGTGACCATGCAACGCAACGTCGCCTCGCAGTTTTGTGTGCGAGCCCTAAGACGTATAATAAGTAGTGTTGTCAGTCGTCACGACAAATCAAATACGCACCGAGATAACAACGGTTCTAGGAAATATACATACGTCATCCTGTCTGTATACATATAATGACTAGGGCATGTGTACACTGAAATATACGTCATCCTGTATATAATGACTAGGGCATGTATACTCTGACTTGTTTTGTTAAGTACTTAGAATTAATTTATTCTCTGAAAAGGTTATAGAGACGTTATTGTTCACGTTAATTCGGTTATGTTTCTAATGTTACTGTTATTACGCACTATTATTTATATAGAATATATTTTGGACTTGTAGAAAGGATGGATGAAAGTAGAGTTACGAAAGAGTACTTATACAGAGCGGATATGAATGGGGCCGTCAGTAGAGGGCGCCCTAGACGGACATAATTGTGACCAGATTGGCGATATTAAAGAAGGGCTAAATTAAAAGCTAAAAGTACCCTTAACCGACGAGTATGCATGAAAAAATTGATGACTGTTTATGAAGCGAAAGAGGTATGTAGGAAACGTAGTAATTGGCGTTCCATAGTCTCTGCCTACCCCCATGGAAGACAGGCGTGAAGTTATGTATGTGTTTATGAAGTTGAAATTATTTGACTACTTCGTTGGCCGAGTGGTCACAAGTGCAACTGTCAGGCAAGGGGTCTCAGGTTCGATTCCTGGATCGGGCAAAGTATTATTGGGTTTCAAAAAAAAAAATCAGTAGTAGTATTTGGAATTGTATCCGGTATATGGATTGGCTCACCCCCTATTAATTGGGATCATAATATAAATAGTGAAAAGTGGGTGTTACATTGTACAGTGTCATTAAGTGTCGTAATGTGCATCTCTGCCTACCCCTTCGGAGATGAAAGTCGTGATGTTATGTTACTTTAAAAGTTTGTCAAATTTAGGTATTCTTTTGAACCTCTTAGGGTCGAATACCTGTCGCGGAGAACCTAACGGGTAACCGGGGCTCCGGCTCGACGTGCAGGAGAAGGAACGGGGTGGTTTTTAGTCAGTAAGAGTTTGACACTCCCTCCCGCCTCACCCAGGCGGGAGCAGTCATTCGATGATTTTCCCCCTTAAAAAAAAGGGTCGAATACCTCAATGATATTTTGATTTTAGAATAACAATATTTTAAGGTACATTTGAGACTTGCTACCGGGGTAGATTTTAGGCAGTATAAAGTCTGATAGTACCCTTTTTTTCTAGGCAACGGGGCTCCGTAAAGGTTATTCAATTTGGGGTCAAAAAAGCCCATCAAAACAGATAGGAACATCTAAAATAATATCATGTTTATTATTTTATGCGTTAAATACCATGGAAGGAAAAGGAAATTTATTTTTAGTTTTAAAGTTAGTTTAGACAGTTGTAAATTAATACAATGTGCGCCTGCGCACCGTTACAATTTTTATGCGACAGACATGACAAAGTACCTCTATAATCTAAATATTTATGAATGCAATATTTATTTATGTATGTGTGTGTGTACAACACAGTATAGTGTCTACAACATACATACATATAGCATATAGTAGATTTTTTTAAGGGGGGAAAATCATCGAATGACTTCTCCCGCCTGGGTGAGGCGGGAGGGAGTGTCAGACTCTTACTGACTAAAAACCACCCCGTTCCTACTCCTGCACTTCGAGCCGGAGCCCCGGTAACCCGTTGGGTTCTCCGCGGCAGCATACACATTACATTACCTTCTAGCCAAGACATTGTACATAAAAATCCTGTTGTTTTATCTGGAAAACCCCGATTGCTGCTCCTTGATACTGCCATTTATGTGAAGAGGGAGATAAAATATCTCCTCGAAAATTCTTAAATCGATTCAGTACTTTTGTAGCATATAATTAATGCAAACGAATAAACAATGAAATCTGTTTTTTTTTTGTGGGTGGATCGAACACATGCAACAATTTGAGACCAGCTTCCTGAGTACTGGCTTCTTGGATAGATAACTACCACCGTTTATCCTTTCATCCTTCATCTGATAGCTTTATAATAAATATTAGTACAATGGATGTGTCCACACATCTTACTTTTGGAATGCCTCGTTAGCCGAGTGCGACTGCCGGGCAAGGGGTTTCGGGTTCGATCCCGTGTCCGCAAAGTATTACTGTTTTTTTTTAAAATTCTCAATAGTAGCACGGAGTCTGGAATTGTGCCCGGTATATGGCAATAGTATGACCCCCTATTACATGGGACTCATAATATAAAATAGTGAAAAGTGGGTGTTACATTGTACAGTGGCATTAAGTGCCGTAATGTGTACCTCTGCCTACCCCTTCTGATTTATATTAATTTGTACCTTGATTTATGTTTCCAGCACGGGCTATTTACATGCATTCACAAGTATTACACTATTGACGAATGGAAGAAGTTTGCTGAGGAGCATCCAGAGTGCTTACAACAGATGGGTAAGTTTTTTGTTTATAGCCTGAATTAAACTGTCAAACACCGCGAGGACACCGGTGAACGCAACCTATTGTTCTTTAATTGTGTCTATAATGACGGTACTCAAAGGGTTAAGCCGGTATCTAATGGAATATCGCACTTAATGTAATTTAAATTTGAATTTTTTACTTTTACTTTTAAATACTTTGTTAATTAACTAAAAATATCGGGTTACTCACGTGAATATACTGAGAAAAGGTGGTGTGTTGATGGTGGACCTTCTGTGGTTCGAAAGTAGTTGAGCTTTTCTAAGTATATTCGTAAGTAACCCGCGGTTTTTAGTTAATTTAGTATGACTCACGATAGTTGTCATTCAAAAAAACACTTTGTTAATTCATATTTGCATGCCTCCTGGTGAAATATGACTGACCTCGCAATGTACCTAACTAAACACCACATCTTATTGTATTACCCATATTTGCAAATAAACTATTTTTCATATCTCAGTTTAAAATGCGATTTTTCAACTCAATAATAGCCCAGAGATATGAATAGGGTAGCTTCCAGGGTAAGAAAATTAAAAATGTAATTAGTCCGTCAGTTAGATAATAAAACAATATTAGACACGTATTTTTTATTTTGTCGTATAAAGTTACAATACTTAAATAAAACGGCGTTAAGTTTAGAAGCGGGAGGTAGTTACGTCACAACGTGTTACATTTTATAGCACGCTGTGACGTCACGCGACATTTCAAATCAATATATCGTCAAAAGCATTTAATTTTGTGAGAATAGAAAAAATACGTGTCTAATGTTTTAAAATAATCTACCAGACGGATATTAAACGGCATAGTGAACGCGAATAGCTGGTTATGAACCTACAATTCTATGACATAGTATCATAATTGGATTTCCTTTCCCCAAGGGGTATTCTGTGGTTTAAAATAAAATTTAGGAAACTACCCTATTCTGCATACGGTAACAGTCACAGATATAATAAAGAAGTTTTAATATTTCTGTTTCTTTTTTAAATATTATATATTTAATATTATTATTCTTTTTTAATATATATTTCGGTTTCTTTTTTAATATTTCTGTGGTAACGGTGTACGGTAATTGGCTCGCCTATTATCACAAGGGACCCGTAAAATGATAATGTTAAAAAAGTAGGGTGTAGTGGAGTAGTTACATTCTACACTATGTATAGCGCTGCCTACTTTTTTTTAAGGAGGGAAAGTAATCGAATGACTGCTCCCGCCTGGGTGAGGCGGGAGGGAGTGTCAGACTCTTACTGACTAAAAACCACCCCGTTCCTTCTCCTAGCCCCGGTAACCCCGGTAACCCGTTAGGTTTTCCGCGACCGCGACTGCCTACTTCTTTAGGGAGTAAAAAACGTGATGTTATTGAATCACGTTCAACGATTTATTTCGCTGTGTTTTTCCTCAAACTCATCAACTCATTGGAGTTAGTCCCTGACATTAGGCGATTAATATCAATTGCTACAATCTCAATAAAATAAATCAACTGCACAGAAGATTAATAGTACCTACAGACCTACGTATCTGCTTGATGTGCACAGCATCATCATCGTCATCAACAGCCTATAAATGCCCACTGCTGAGCAAAGCCTCTTCTCACACGGAGAAGGTTTGAGCATTAATCTGTCAAACACCGAGCGGTCACCGGTGACCGCGACCTATTGTTCTTTAATTGTGTCTATAAAACCGGTACTCGACGAGTTAATCACCACGCTTGCTCAATGCGGGTTGGCGATTACAAACTTATAATTAGAATAGAAATTATAAGCCCAGGTTTCCTCACGATGTTTTTCTTCACCGTTTGTCAGTGGCAGATTTTTTTTTTTGAAAAAACGTTGCCCCCACTATGATTTTCTCCTGTATCGGGGTGCGTTTACAAACACACAATTTCACATACACATGACACCCAGACCCGAAACAACAAATTTGTGGATCACACAAAGTGTTGTTCCGTGCGGGAATCGAACCCGCGACACGTTGCACGGCAGTCGGTTGCCCAGCCACCGCTCTAGCCGTGCAGTCTTAGAAAGTACATATAACTCGGAAAAAGTCACATTGGTAGTTGCCGTTGGTAGGTTTCGAACCTGTACCCTCATGCATGAGAAGCGGGCGTCTTAAACCTCCGGACCACCGCGACATTGGTACAGCAAATTATTATAGTACAAAATAAAATGAGCATACTGGTCACCGTGGTCAGCATCAATATAGCGGACACCAGCGATACCAGAAGATTTAGAAGTGCGGTTTGCTATCATTTTTGCGCTATTGGGTTTCTGATGACCTCACTCACGCAGCGAAACACCACATTCGCTTTGGTTTGGTTTTCCTATGGATGCGTCCACATCTGGCGAATGCTCTGTGAATATGCATCTCGCGAGCCGCTCGCAAACGGTGCGCGAGTGGCACCCTTTGAGGCCATAGTAGTAGTAGTGAGGTTTGAGGTATTATAGTCCGGTCAAGCTGGTCAATTTGTGTCTAAGCATGTCAATGTGAATTAACTTAACCCTTTGCCTTTTATCTATTTTTTTATTTAGTCCGATATATACAATATTACAATCTCCAATGCTTCGATATTTTTGCCATATTTCATCAAGAATATAACGTGAATCGAATAGGGTAGATGCCTAATTTTCTTTTTTAATGTCCGTCTGGTGGATTGTTTTAAATCATTAGGCACGTATTTTTTATTTTCTTACAGAAACGAATACTTTCGACGATATATTGATTTCAAATATCGCGTGACGTCACTTCTATGTAGATTTTAAACGTAGAAATGACGTTTTAGCCCCCACTCCTAAACTTTGATTCGTTTTATCTAAGTATTGTTTTATTATACGATAATATTTTTTCATTACGTAACTTACGAACTAATAATATTTTTAATTTCATACCCTCTAATCATTCCAATTCTAATACTGTTACTGTTACTGTCTACAGCTTAACATCGATGGTACATCGAACAGAAATGATCCAATGATGAAAATTATAATGATGAATCTATTTCCAGCTGCCAGCTCAGGCACAGCAGAGGCAGACTTCGAGCGCCTGGCTGAGATCCTGAATACCATCAAGGACCTGAAGTTCATATGTTTAGACGTGGCCAATGGATACTCACAACACTTCGTTGAATACGTGCGAAAAGTTCGGGCTGCCTTCCCCACTCATACTATCATTGTAAGTAAATTGATAAAAAAAAATTTTCTTCTCCTCTTCTGATTCACTTCGTTGCGGGAACCAAGACAGTTATTCATGTCCCTGGGACGCGCCGGACTTCAGTGTTCCGGTGTATTCATGGTTGTATCTACTGTAGATCCTGGCTTACAGGAGTTGCAGCGGTTTTGGGAGGTTGTGGCGGGCTTGTCCCATAAAAAAACATTGATAAAATCTTCATTAAATAAAAATACGTCTTATTACTCTCGTGGACTATTAGAGAAAAGCTCTACTGGTTTAGTTTAAAACCACACTGGGCCTCTAATTCATGAATAGCAAAAAATTAAATAGACCACTTTTGGGCACAATTTTAATGTCTACCACTTTGATGTGAGAACATTTTGTATTGACAAAACTTAACATATTTGAGAAAAGTCTAAAAATTGTGTAAATTTTACTCATGACCCCAAATAACTTTTGACGCACACATGGGATCTATAAGGACCCGTTTGCTTTAATGGTGAATCCAAAATCTTCACAAAAAATTTTGTTCTTTCCTATTTTTCGTTATTTCACCACTATTTTTTAGTCTACTTTGACTATGATTTTATTTTTAAAATATGAATTATTGTGAAAGCAACAGATTTTTTTATTAAAATAAAAATTTTCTGTTTTCAGGCTGGAAATGTAGTAACCGGTGAGATGGTAGAAGAATTAATTTTGTCTGGAGCTGACATTATAAAGGTAAGTCACTTGAATTTTTTTTAATTAAATGAACAGAATATTTTTTCCAAATATAATATACCTATGGATTGATTGGTAGGTAATATGGACGAAAATTGAGAGTCTATTTATAACGTCCAATTATTTTTTTATTTAGGATTTCAATCCTAAAAGAAGAAAATGAGAGTATAATTTGTGAGAAGAATAATAAAAGTAGAAGAGAGATACAAAAATTTGAAGTGACTTTATGTTTGGCAATTAATTAGTTATCTTTCGTCTTGCAGGTAGGAATAGGACCAGGATCAGTGTGCACTACTCGCATCAAGACGGGTGTCGGATACCCACAGCTGTCCGCTGTCATAGAGTGCGCGGACGCAGCGCACGGTCTCAAAGGACATATCATATCGGTAAGTAATAAATATAAAAAAAAATGCTTCAGCTTTTAGAAAATTAATAACATATTTTCCAACAGTTAGATATCTTTATCTAACTGTTGGAAAATATGTAGATATTCATTATATTATAAAGACAAAGACAAAGACAAAGATTATTTATTTGCAAAAACACGTGTGAAATAATAATACATCATAGAATGCACATTATAAGTTGTACAGATGAGCAGTGAGCATAGTATGTTTGACCATTTCTGGTGTACAAATGTGGAATATAATATTAAATCCAATTATAACAGTAATTAAACTTTTAAATTGTAACATTCCTATAAGAGACTCAAACCTCCAACAAAGAAAAATTACAAACACTCGTCATTTACAAAGTCATGAACACTAGAATAGCATTTATTAACTAGTAGTTTTTTCAACGCTTGTTTGAATAAGTTTAATGTATGTAATGTTTATATTGTTAATGGAATAATGCGTAAAGAAGCAGACGGATCACCTGTTGGTAAGCAGTCGGCGTCGCCATGAACACTCATATCACCATAAGAGTAAAAATTCCATTACCGGTCTTTTGGGTCTTTGAGAACTGAAGATAGAAGGAGCATTGCGTCTTTAATCTCCCTGGTCCACGTGTACATTGGGCATAGAAAGCAATGATAATTTATATAAATTCTTTTCTCAGGATGGAGGATGTACGTGCCCTGGTGACGTAGCAAAAGCATTTGGAGCTGGAGCAGACTTCGTGATGGCTGGTGGCATGTTTGCCGGTCACGACCAATGCGGTGGTGATGTGGTCACCACTGCCGATGGAAGGAAGGTCAAGCTGTTCTACGGCATGTCTTCGTCTACTGCCATGCAGAAACATTCTGGTGGTATCGCAGAGTACCGGTCTTCGGAAGGTGAGTGTTTATTTGGTGTATATCGGTTCACTTTTAGTTGAAATAGAGTTTATTTGATGTTTGATTTGATCGGATAAAAGACGAGGAAATCCGCAAACGAACAAAGGTCGCCAACATAGCCCAGCGGATTAGCAAGTTCAAGTGGCAGTGGGCAGGGCACATAGCGCGGAGAACCGACAGCCGTTGGGGCAGAAACCGGCAAGCGCAGCGTAGGACGTCCATCCGCAAGGTGGGCAGACGACCCCATTAAGATCGCAGGGAGCCGCTGGATGCTTCCAACCGGCCTATCTGGAAGTCATTGGGGGAGGCCTATGTTCAGCAGTGGACGTCCTGTGGCTGATATGATGATGATCATTATTATTTGATGGCGTTCTGTAACAGTTTTCTATATGATTGGCAATGTGATTGTCATACCTCTGGTCTGTTACGAGGACTAGCTATGCATCTAAGCATTTTGTCATACAAGGACGCTGAAAAAATTGTGGACGAAATTTTACTTAGAAATGTTTGAAGCACCAAACTTTCAGTCGTGTATTTATGTGTGCGTGTACTTACAACACTGTGACGTATGAAGATAATGACGGGCCATGTCACGCGACAGACGTCCTTCGTATCAATGTGTGTGTATTCTGCATCTAAGTCTATAGTAGTCAGGAACTACAGCCTTGTATCAAGAGAATATGTCCGACTATTTTTCAACGTCTTTGTTATCATAATTGAAATATTAGGTTTTTTAAAGAGTCGATAATACTAGCAAAAGCATTGTTTGGTAGTGCGCTCATTTTCAGTGAGTAGTTTTTGTAGTAGTTTTAAATACAGCTGAAGTTTTAGTTTTGTTACGCACTTATCCTAAATGAAGGTTCCTAAATGAAGGCTCTCTCTCTCTCTCTCTTTTCTCATCCATTCGTTTTCGTACATTACAGGTAAAACGGTAGAAGTGGAGTACCGAGGTGACGTAGGGGCTACCGTCAAGGACATTCTAGGAGGTCTAAGATCAGCCTGCACTTACGTAGGAGCCGCCCACTTACGGGAGCTCCCAAGAAGAGCCACCTTTATAAGATGCTGTAGACAAGTCAACGATACCTTCTCCTAAATAGAATAAAAATCTCCAATCTTACTATGATAGTCGAATCTGATTGCGATAGTAAAGGCTCATTCACACGATAATTTCCTTGTACATACGAGCGATAATTTAATTCAATAAGTATGAAAAATGGAAGCAAGTTTATACGCAAATATTGACTCATAAATACAAGAAAAGTATTGAAATAAATCTGGTATACCATAGATCAAAAATGTTATGTACTGTTTTGATCAAGCATAAAATTGCGTTAAGGTAATGTTTACTGCCCACAACTCGTTATTTGACGACCATGCATGCAACCTATAATTGGCAATAGGCGGCCTGCAAATGACCAATGGCATTGGCAATGGCAATGGCATCTGACTTATAAACAACAAAAACTGTTCACGAAGCAGCAACGATGCGTCACTTACTCCTCATACAAATCCGCCCTCGTTGTAGATTGCATGCATTCGTCGAATAAAGCGTCGTAGACTATAGGGCTTTGGCAAAAAACTTGTATCGTGTGAATGAGGCTTTAAGATCTAAATATGATAGTGCGATTTTATGCGATAGTCTTGCTTTGATAGTTGAATCTAAATGCGATAGTGGAATCTTACTGTGATAGTGAGATCTATTTGGGATAGTTTAGACCGATTTTGAAATGAATGTTGTTTATGAAGATCTGACTAAGATAGTGGGATTTTACTTGGATAGTAAGATGTTAAGATTATGTGGAATTTATTAAGGTACGTAAATGTTTTAATAATAATGTTATGGAGTAATGGTTTCTTCTTACATCAAATACCTAATAAAAAACATTATTTCGGTCCTAAGAAACTCTTTTTAAAATATCTTAATGAACACGTTACTTCATAACATTAACTTTATTATTTTTAATTATGAAATTGTAACGTAATTTCAATGCATTAAGATTTAAAAGGACTTGGCAAAAGTACCAATTAATATAATTTTTAATAGGAATTATGTAAATGCTAGTGAGACCTTCAGTTTCCCTTACGCATACTAGCGCCAACTGGCGGGAAGTTAGGGAACTAATGTTTTTTTCTACAAGTGAAACAAGTGAATTTTTATTTATTTATTTTACTACGCTATTGTCCTTTAAACTTAATGATCTGTGAAATATCCAAAGATTTTTTCGTTCTGATTTTAAGGTGAGATGCTTTTTAGGGCTATTTATAAATGTGATTGGTAAGGCTAGGGTCAACCACCCAAGCCATGACGGTTTCATATTAAATTGGAAAAGCGTACAACGGCGGGACCGGGTAGCCGCGCGATCCACCGCACCGCTAGTCCGTATGCTTAAGATTTGTATATCAGTCACATTCATAAGCAGTTATTTCTTATAAAATATCTAGATAGAAAAACTAAATACTGCGTACATTTTCTGCTAGCCTAGTAAATACACGTGCATATAAACCATACTCTATTTGATAAACCTACAATTTACAGTTGTAACAACCGATTTTGAGTTCTATTGCGTAAGAAATAAAAATGTCATTGGCAGCAAAAGTGTTTGTAAACATCTATTAAGCTTTATTTCAATGCAATAGAACTCAAAATCGTGAGACGATGACGATTCTTTGAGTAGAGGTTGTTAATAATGTTAATACAATTGCAGTTAAACGTGATTACACGAATATATGCCTTGCGTAGATATTGTTAAGAGTGATTTTACAATTACGCTAGATAATTAAAATCATCTTTTTAAATATTTAATCTGTTGTAAGTTGCCTCGTTTGAAAGTTTAAGTTTAAAATTAATTTCATTTTTAATTGGAAATTACAATAATTTGACTTATAAGATGGATTCAATGCAAAATGATTTTTATTATTATTATTATTCACTACAGTTAAATGTAGAATGTATTAAAAGACAAAACATATGGCGCCAAAATTTCGGCCGCGGCCATTTTGTGACGTTCGACGCACAAATAGCAACGAGGCAACGACACAACCATCATAATTATCACAAGATTCACAAACATTGCATAAATATTATGAAAATTAGCTTAAACACAATCAATTTTCTGGTGCTAATTTTAATCTCTTAGATAGGTTTTTTTTTTTTTTTTTTTTTTTTTTAAGGGGGGAAAATCATCGAATGACTGCTCCCGCCTGGGTGAGGCGGAAGGGAGTGTCAGACTCTTACTGACTAAAAACCACCCCGTTCCTTCTCCTGCACGTCGAGCCGGAGCCCCGGTTACCCGTTAGGTTCTCCGCGACTCCGAATCGGCATCGGCCCTATTGGGCCCCATCTGTGGTGGTCTGATGGCTCTTTGAGGCGCGCGCGGAACGCGACGCGCCGTACGCTCGGGTCTGTTTCTGGTCGGACGGGGAGCCACCCATGCTCGCCGTCCGCAGGCCCGCGCTTACGGTGGCCGGAGATCGTCCCGCGATCCCCGACGCCCGGTGTGTCCTTCGCGATGGCTGGGTTGCGAGGAGGCAGCGCTTCGCTGCCTCGCGCGTCCCGCCTCCTCCTTAGCCAGCATGACTGCTTCGCAAAAGGAGGAGACGGCATCCCAGTCCCCCTCGCTCCGCATCATGGCCTGAACTAGGCCCGGACGCGAGAGGTCTCCATCGCCGATCACTTCCCTGAGGGCACGGCGGTGCTCAGCCCACGCAGGGCATTCCGCAACAGTGTGTTCCACCGTGTCCTCAGGGTGGTCCTCGCAGTGATGACACCCGGGCGTTTCCTCCCGCCCCATCAGACACAGGTACCTCCCGAAACTTCCATGTCCGGTGAGGACCTGCGTCAGGCGGTAGGTGAGGACGCCGTAGCGTCTCTCAAGCCACTCCTCAAAGAGGGGACTTACCGCTGCAATGGCAGCGAGCCCAACTTCTTTGTTGAGAGTTGAAGCCGGCGCGAGCGCTAGCGCACGCCGACACACAATACTCGACGACCCCGAAGCGCACGCGATCTTTTTATGGAAACGCGAAACGCACTGGGGCGAGCAAACGCACTGGGGCGAGCAAACGCAGGTCTAGGAGTATTTTCAAAGAATCGGAGATCGGACTTTAATAAGGACATATTTCTCACTATAATTAAGTTAAAATACATTTTAAGTCATTGCTGAGATATTTATCACTATTAATATAGTTGGCCATTATAGTTTATAATTACCCATTGAGCTAATTTTTAACCATATTTATTATAACTTGTATTTATAATCTTTTCGAGGATGCCCGACTAATTTCGACTCGTACCGGGGCTCATAATCTTGAGCTCATTTGAGACAAAGATTTAGAATGTTTTACGATAAACATACTTACTGATCGTTCGGCTTTTGTAAGTTATCAGTATCTAGTACCCCGGAGTTTGGTATTGTACAAATAAAAAAAAATAGATTTTGTCTAATATCTAGTCCGATCTCCTATTAAGCAGCTTTTATTAGAAATAATAGTTCAAACTTAGGTAACTATTTATTGTAATAGTTTTAATTCGTCGTTGTAAGCTTTTATCTTGAATTTATTTCATTTAAAATGTTATATCCCTAAAATAAATGTTCTTCTTATTGAATTGTTCAAAAGAATTGGCTCTGCATTCGATTCCAATCTGAAAAGTTACGATGCTACTCGATGAGACCGGAGTGACACAGTCCAACATTGCTTTGTATTTCGTTATGTGAATGAATGAGGTTACCAGAGGCCCAATTCCTCCCCTCCCCGATCTCCCCACATTTCCAATCCTCGAATCTTTAACCCCCATAAGGCCGGCATCACACTTGTAACTCTGCACTTTTACGGGTGTCCATGGGCGGCGCCAATTGCTTACCATCAGGTGATCCATCTGTTCATTTGCCGGTCCACATAATTTGTTTTATTGTTTTGGAATTGGTCGTTTTTAAGATGCACAAAGATTTTATTTCGCACAAATTAGTACAATATTTTCAATTATATTTTAATGTAATTTTTTACTAAGAAATGAGTTGATTATTGGATTGATCGTATTACTAGTAAATTGATACTTAATATTTTTATTATTGTTTTAATTTTGGACTTATTAAATCAAATCAAATCAAATCAAATCAAATCATTTATTTGCATAAAATGTAGGTGTTTACAAATAAGTTGTTACAGATATAATATAGTAGCCGTATACATTTTGCCCGTTTATTGGCATGCAAAATATGGTGAAAAAGCTGTCAGATTTAATATAATAGCAAGCAATAATTAAGGTTTACAAATTCAATACAAACAATAATAACAATGTCAAGAAATACGTACCTAATATTAAAATAATGTCAAGAAATACGTAATGTTAAAATTTATCAATTAGAAAGTCTGTTGTTGAATAATAACATTTGTCAATGAGAATTTTCCGTACAGTCCTTTTAAATTGATTTAAATTGAGTGATTTTACATTGTCTGGTAGCTTATTATATAACAGTTGTGCCATGCAAAGAAAACTTTTATTCATGAGGGCTGTTTTGCCATAACGAACCTCGAGTTTTAATCTGTTTTTATCCCGTAATTTCCTATAGTCACTTTTGAAAGCAACTGTGTATAAATCTTTGTTGGTTCTGACGTAAGTTAATGTTTCATATATATAGAGTGATGGAAGTGTCATTAGTTTGAGGCTCTTAAAATACGGTTTACAGCTTGTTGTGCAATCTATACTACATATTGCTCGAATACACTGTTTCTGTGCTCTAAACACAGTATCTTTATTAACAGAGTTACCCCAGTATATTATTGCGTATCTCAATTTTGAAACAACGTATCCATGATAAGCATTCAATACCGCTTCACGATTGACTACTTTTGTTAATTTGCTCAGAGCATAGGCAGAGGTATTTATTTTCCTGCAAATTTCGTCGCAATGGGTCTTCCACGAAAAATTGTGGTCAATATTCAAACCTAAAAATTTGGTAGTATCAGTTGAGGTAATTGGTTCACCTTGGTAATTAACGTCGATGTCTTTAATTTGTGCTCTTTGTCGAAAGTGTATAATTTTAGTTTTTTGTATGTTAATTTTTAAATTATTATATGTCAACCATTCAATTATTAATGTCAGAGTATTATTAATGTCAGCTTCATAATTGTCAAAGTTTTCACATTTAATTGTGACGGTACTATCGTCAGCAAATACAAAAGGATGTCCAACATGTTTAGGCATATCATTAATGTAGAGTAAGAAGAGTAGTGGGCCTAAAACACTCCCTTGTGGAATCCCGAATTTAACTATTGCTGTATCTGATGTGTATTTTATTTCTTTCTTTAGTTTAGGACAAATTTGTGTAAGTTCAGTAAATTGTTTTCTATTAGTAAGGTATGACTGAATTAGATTTGAGATATTACCCCGTATTCCATATGAATTTAGTTTTTTGAGCAAGTTTTTGTGATCGACGCAGTCGAAGGCTTTGCTCATATCCATGAAGATGGCACATATAGGATAGTTTCTATCCATACTAGAAATAATTGGTTCGATAAATTTATGTATGGCCAAATTAATGCCTTTTCCTTTGCGAAATCCATATTGTTCATCAGTTAATATTCTATTTTTTTCTAAATATATATATAATGCTTTGTATATTATTTTCTCGAATATTTTTGATATGATTGGGATTAATGCAATTGGCCTATAGTTTGTCATTACAGTTTTATCGCCCTTTTTGTGTAATGGTGTTATAATCGTAGTTTTGAGCTTATCTGGATAGATGCCTTGTATTATAGAAAGGTTTAATATGTAACTAAGGTGAGGTGAAATAGATTGGGCTACAGCCTTTATCACTTTAGTAGATATTTCATCATACCCCATACTATGCGTGTTTCTTAAACATTTGATTTCCTTTGCAATGTCTTGTGGTATTGTAGGGTTCATAAACATAGACGTAGTGCTTGTTTCCTGTATGCGGAATTTGTTATTGGCTAAGTTCATTTGGTCAATTGAATTACGGGTTGGCAGTGCGGGATTAATAAAGTATTCATTGAAATTGTTTGCTATTAAGATTGGATCCGATATTTTATTATTATCTAAGTAAATGTCAGTTATTGGTTCTTTTGGGTAGTCAAATTTTTGATTATTAATAACAGTCCACGTGGCCTTAGATTTGTTATCCGCATTTTTAATATAATAGTCGTTTTGTGATTTTTTGGTCAAGGCGATTATTCTTTTAAATCTAGACGAGTAGTTTTTAAAATTACATCTGTTCTCAATAGTTGGGTTTTTGTAATATTTCCATAGTAATATTCTCTTCCTTTTACTACATATTTTAATACCCTTTGAGATCCATTTCTGTCTTACTTGTAACCTTTTTAAACATGTTAAATAATATTACGATTACCATGTATTATGTAAGATGATGTTTTTATGACGTAATTGATACAAACTTAACATATATTTCCAGATATATGACAATACATATTACATGGGAGTCATAACATAAATAGTGAAAAGTGGGCGTTACATTGTGCAGTGGCATTAAGTGCTACGGCACTACACACGTGACAAAAGGCATTATGTTATGTTATGTCATATATGACAATAGTTCATTAATTATTTGAATAAAAGTTCATGTCATTAGAGTTAAAGAGATTAGAGAAAATAGCACAAAAATTCGATTGAATGATTCATATTAAATGTGTTATACTTTTGTAATTATTTTTATGTTGTGTTAAAAGACGAAGAACGATTGTTTGACGTTCTAAAATATAGTTAATGTACATATATATTTCTGGTTTTATTTTGTATTGAATACTGACCTATTACAATTATAAAGAAACCAAGAGCCACAGAAAGTATTAGTGATAAAATGTATTATCTACTAGTCGTGGTGGCCCGGACGTTTAACAGCCAGTTTCAATAACCTATCTATCTGCAGATTTGCTTACTAGAGATAGAATTTTGAAAGGAGCTCCATAAAAAATATGTCAAAATTCTATCTCTAATAATCTGCAGATAGATAGGTTATTGAAACTGGACGTTAGACGCCCGTTTCTCATGCATGAGAGAGCGAGTTCAAACACCAAGTTCCAATGTAACTTTTTCCGAGCCATATGTACTTTCTAAGATGATTTAGACACCTCGGACGAACGGTGACAGAAAATATCGTGAGGAAACCTGGGCTTATAATTTCTAATTATGAGTTTGAAATTGAGTGGAGCCCACTCAACGTCAGTAGACGTTGCGGCAGGCCCAAAAGGAGATGGCGGGACGAATTAGACAACTATGACAAGAATTGGCTGCAAAAAGCTTTACATAGAGAGGAGTGGAAGGAGGGTAGGGAGGCCTTTGCCCTGCAGTGGGACGATCATGGCTGAAAATAAATAAGTTTGAAATTGCCGATTGAGCAAGCGTAGCGATTAATGCTCAAACCTTCTCCGTGTGAGAAAAGGCCTTTGGACAGCTGTGGCCACTTATAGACTGTTGATGTTGTTTTTATACTCTGTTCTGACACCATAAGGTTAAAAAAAATAAAAACCGATCCAAATAGTACGCATTTTAATAATACCAACTGAAAAAAGCTAATCAAACGATTGAACTGATCCAACCACTGACAACGTGTTAAGGAAATTGCAACCGTGACCAGTGGACACAACGTTCTTTGTTTCATTGACAGATATAATTTCACTTAACATTGCTTCGTCGTACACACTGCATTGCCGTTCCTCATGCAGTAACAAACATTGCAGTCTACCTTATAAGTCTGACCTTTCGGACAGAAATTATCTTTTTGGACGAAAGGTATAAACTCCACAATCACAGATTTATCTTGAGACTTGTTCTCTGTCCTTGAGGATAATAAAATTGATTTGGAAAGCGTTAAACCATCTTCATTCGTTGACTTCTTGGAGCAAATCTTTGATGTGCACGCCACAGTCTTACCATCTGCGAGACATCTGCATTTATTACAATCCTGCTGGTAGAAATGTAAAGGTTCACAGTACCCATGCATTGAAGCCAGCATCTGAGGTGATGTAATGTCTTCAGTTTTACAAGAATCGTCGATGTGACAGAATTCTCTTTTCACACCATCTTCACCTACAACGCAGTGACAGATCAAACAGTTCGCTTGGTACGATGTTCCCTCAACACAAGTCTCTGTATCATTACCGTCCGATGGCTCTTTGCAAGAGTTCATAGAACACCCAAAGTACTTCACTCCTTCGTGTATGAAACAATGACACGTGTTGCAGTCCTTTTTATACTTCGATCCTGGAATACAATTGTACTCATCCTGAATATGCTCCACCAGATCGTATTCAATCTGCGGTAAGGAAATCTTCGTGTGATACTGCAAACACTTTTTTGCTGTACAATAAATAGTTTCTTTTTTGTTACAATGACATAAGTTACAGCCTTTCTGGAATATCACTCCTGGGGTCTTTTGGTAGCAAATAGTGTTTTGGGCGATGGTCAAGTTGTGATCTTCTTCGTTAGTACAATTGTCGCACACGAGGCGATTGTTGCGGAGACAGACGCAGGTTTGGCAGCCGAGCTTATAGTGTTTGGTAGGAGTACAGCTAGCGTATACTTCATCGACAGTTTCTGTATTGTGAGACCGCTCAACGTTTTCTTGGTGACATTGCCTTTTTGTGCAGTATTTAGGATCGATGCGTCCATTTGATGGACAGAAGCAAACGTTGCAATCGAACAGATAGAGTTTAGTTGCAGAACAGTTAGTGTCCTTAGTAGGTTCTTTATGATCTGTCGATTCGACGGGGTGGAGGATTTGGAAGATGTCGCGGCACACTGCATTGGGCCATTTTCCATCTTCAGTGCATACACAGAGGAGCTCATTCTTTCTATAGTGGACTCCTGCCTCACAAGCAGCGGCATCCGAACGCCAGACGCCATGGCCATTCATACCTACGTCCATATCTCTTATGGCATCTGAAAACGGTAATGAATTTAAGCTAATGGAATATGAAGAACAACAGAAATAGATTAAGTGACTGCTTTTGCAGTTTGGATTCAGTTTTCACTCTTTCAGATATGGTTCCTTCGTCAAAATTATTTTCTGTTTCTTATTTTAACTTACCATTAAAATGGCCAAACATATCGACTTCACCGCAAGCTCGAGCTTTGCATGTGTATGCACTCTTCACGTTACAAGAACACCAGTTACAGTCGTTCAATGCGATCGTGTTTCTTTCGCAGCGCTCACTCCACACTTTTTCGGCAACAGCTGGAAAATTACTATCATTAGTACTCATTTGGTAGGTAATCATGATATTTGCAACCAGACGGGCACTACTGAGTGTAGACTATCTATATATATAAAAGAAAGTCGTGTTAGTTACACTATTTATAACTCAAGAACGACTAAATCGATTTGGATGAAAATTGGCGGGGAGTTAGCTTAGAACCAGGAGACGGACATAGGATACTATTTATCAAATTTTTTTTTTTACTTTTACCGAAAATCACGAACGGGAACGGGGGAAAATGGGATTGCGCGTACGAAGTCGCGGGCAGAAGCTAGTAGGTTAATAACTTGTATCCACCGGCTCGGATTAGATCAGATGGTTTGTCCACCTTGTGACTGGACATCCTACGCTGCGCTTATCGGTATGTGGCCTCCAATGGAACCTTTCCGCATGTAATGTCAAAAGCAGGAATCGGTAATTTATAACAACAGGATACGTATGAAATACCAGAACCAATTTGATAAGAAGAATATACGTCATCTCGGTGACCATTGAACTTGAAGAACATACGTCATGTCGTATCTTCTTCAAGAATCGTGTCGTATACAACATGTAACTTAAATAACGCACATCCTGAAAATAGTTTGTTCAGAATCGTTAATTGAATCGATTTAAATAATTTTTAGTATAGGTAATTTTTTATCCCAAAATTAATTAAAACTACGGAAATTATTGTCTTATTAACCCTGTATTGTTAAAACAAATCGAAATGGACCGTAAGTCAAAGCAATAAGACTTTTAAAATCGCAGTTTTATTTGTATTCATACAAATTCTAATCATTCAATACAAAATAAAGAAAAATAAACCTTATGACAAGACCAGTAAGGATGCATGTTAAATTAAAAATTTTGTGTTAAATGTTTGAGGGTGTGCGTTAATTACGTTACATGTTGTATGTCAAAGGTCATGTCTTTTAAACTGTATAAAGAAGAATTGAATAGTAGGAACTTGGTTCCTCAAATGATAGGTTTTCCATCTGTCTATCATGGTTACCATAGTGAACCTGCATTACCGTGGTAAACTACCTACCTGGGTACCTTCGTCTGGGAAAATCAGGTATCTTATAGCACCAGATTTTTGAAAATGAACTTCAAAAACTGAATCTACATAAATACTACTTACATTTTTCATGCCGCAACATCACAACTGATCTCACATTCAAATATAATAAAAATATCACTTTGAAAATCATCTTTATTGATATATGACTCATAGTTCAATTTCCAATAATGTCTTTGTTCATTTTTCTTTCAAGAAGTAATTTAACTAGCATGGGTCATGTTGAGTTTCATAATTGGTTTCCATTTTATGGGCACCCGCTATGCCTGATGTGCATATAATTGATTTTTGAAAATAATACCTATGTGTATCGACGTAGGTTATAACTTTCATCGTTCTAATTCAATAAATATTTTATTAAATTGTTTTAATTATGTCTGAATTTGAAGTCTCCATTTCGTGAGTCTTGTTATTTAATACGTTAACCGCCGCGTAGGTTAACACCTACGTTAGCGAAGGATTTGCCTTCAACAGTTTTCTGTCAGCAGTCAAAACCTAACGGGTAACCGGGACTCCGGCTCGACGTGCAGGAGAAGGAACGGGGTGGTTTTTAGTCAGTAAGAGTCTGACACTCCCTCCCGCCTCACCCAGGTGGGCGCAGTCATTCGATGATTATGCCACCTTTAAAAAAAAAATCGGTAATAGATACATACTGAGATATTAAGACACATTTTCTTATTATAAGAACGACCAATTAGGTAAGGACAATAAAAGGCGAAATAAATTCTCTTAACTTAAAACAAAATGTATATTTATTTTGTCCGTTTTCCTTCATGACAAACATCCTTAGTGCATAACAATTTACTATTTTTTAAGCAAAAACATGAGTTGCAGCCGTTAGTCGTCGTGGTTCCTGGAGTGCATTTTGATCTGCTTGATAAAGACACCATAGACTTCCTTAGAGCCAGTTGAAAAACTTTATTCAATACTTTAGGAAGATTGATTCTCAATGTATTGCCAAGGTATTGATATTCACCAGATTGAACTCCTTTTGCTAAATTTCTTAATGCTTTTTCATCCATCGTCTGCGCAGGTCCAAGTCCTGGCGAAGATCCTGGCGCTGGTGTACTAGGTTCGAGATCAACCTCGTCTTCTGTATCACTCGATTCATCTTCGTCATCCAAAATTTCTTCAATTTTACCGTTATTAATTTCATCGCCTTCTGGAGCAGGGTATTGCAATCTTAATTGTGTTTGTTTAGTTGTTAGTAGTGGGGGCAAGGTAGTAATCGTTTTTACTGTATTTTGTATGTACTGATGCACCGGAGCTGCTGCTGGTTTTTCAGAAACTTGTTCCTCTGTGTCATAATAGTATTCATCACTACTGCTTAAGTTACCTTCTTTACCTAAAGTTAGATACTGGATTTTACTTTCTTTGCTTTCTCGGTTTGGTTCAAATTTTCCAATGTTTTGCTCGTTCTTTAGCTTCACAACACCCTTTAATTTTGGCTCTAAAGGTACACTGGTATGTACTGTTCGTACTTTATGTGAATGTGTGCTGGTACTTGCTGTCTGACCATTTCTCAATGGCTTTTGATTTTCAGGAACTAGTTCCATAACTTCTCTTACCAAGTCTTTGCCACAAACTTTCAGATTATAAGTGCCTAGTTCTAGCTTTTTGGTAAAGTAATTGCCTGTGTTGCATATGAGTTTATTTTCATTGACACAGTAACAAAATTGACAGGGAGCTAGCGAGTACCAGTTTTTGACTTCGCAGTTGCTGTAGACGTTGTTTGATTTTGTAGAAGATCTTCGAAAGCCATCTTCCTCGCATGCGTTTCTTGTACAGCGATCATTAACGATTTGGCCGTCGGGACCACATCTGCACACATTGCAGTCGATGCGGACGTAGGAGTCGGGTACGCATTTATGTGTCTTAATTGTAGCTGGAGCCAGAACTTGGAAGGCATCATTACAGCTTTTATGTGGCCATCTCCCATCTTTAGTACAGATGCAAGTCATCAGGTCTCGTACGTATAATTGGTTAGGATAGCAAAACTGTTTGATATCATCGAGATCACTGTGAGCTGTAAAACAATAAATGAATATTTTAAACACTTATAAGCTATGTATTTCCATTTGATTAGTAACGAAACAATACTCACTTGAATTCTTTTTACAGTCTAAAGCTTTACATTCGAATACGGTTTTTGAGGAACATGTGCATCTATTGCATTCGTTTTCAACCACATCTCCTATGTGACAGGGCTTGATGGGGTGTTGCAGATTGTCTAAAATAATTGTATTATATTTAAGCAGCAATAATTGGGATGATGACAGGGTATGAAAATAAAAATCTAATTTGTCCGTAAGTTATGTAATGAAAAAATATTAGACATGTATTTTTTTATTTTGTCGTGTAATAAAACAATACATCAAAGTTTAGGAGTGGGGGCTAAAACGTCATTTCTACGTATAAAATGTAGAAGTGACGTCACGCGACATTTCAAATCAATATATCGTCGAAAGTATTCGTTTTTGTAAGAAAATAAAAATATATGTGTCTAATGATTTAAAATAATCTACCAGACGGACATTAAAATAAAAATTAGGCATCTACCCTATTCTTTTACTGGGCAGTTTTACGGTAATGAATTAGACAAAAATGAACGTTAAAGAGTTGTCATTGAAGATATTATTATACTTACCCACATTAGATGTAACTATATTAATAGAAATATATAATGTGAAAGAAGATAAGAGCCACATAGCGCGCGTGGATCTGGTGCGGAAAACATAAAGAATGATTATCCAACGAACGGAAAGTAATTAGAGCAATTGATACGATTTTATGTGGCTTTTTATTATGATTGTTGAATACTCTAGTTAAAATCTGAATTAGGAAAAATAACCAATTTGGAGACAGAATCCCCCCTTAAAAAGCTTACAACACTCTCTCCTAATTGTAGCTCCTTTTTTATAGAATAAGCCGGTAAACGAGTATACATAACACCTGATGGTAAGCAAGCGGCACCGCCCATGGATTCCCGAAACACCAGAGGTATTACAAGTAAGTTACAAGCCTAGGAATTAGGAATTTGAGGATTGTTATGGATTCATGAATTGGGGAAGGGGATAATTGGGCCTCCGGTAAGCTCACTCATACGACGAAACACAATGCAAGCGTTGTTTCACGTCGGTTTTCTGTGAGGCCGTGGTCGTGAGGCCGTGAGGTCGTCACTTCGGTCGAGCCGGCCCAGTCGTGGCGAAAGCATGGCTCTCTCCCACATTTACAACTTACAACTCCTCTGATGAGATGATCTGTCTGATAATGTAATATTGACATTAATAAAAAATTGGTAAAACTTTTCACTTGGTACAGTATTAAAAGAAAATTGAATTCGATATACTTGCATTGTACCAATTTAATAATTGGTTTTATTTGTTAAAACTACGGTAAAAGTGATTTAATGTATGTTTACAACGACAGGTTCTGCAAGCACTTCATTAATGATGCAGCAGCGTAAAGCAAAAACATTTCGAAATTCTCAAGACTAAGTGGAGTTCGGGACCGAGCCCAGTGTTTCACAATGGTCGAGCTCTCTAAAAATAATACTAACTAACATTCATTCAAAGATAATTAAGGTACATTACGAAACGCCTGGTCGACGCATCTCGTGACCGGAGGGCTGGTCTTTTTCTCGGTCAGAGGTTAAGCAGTGCCATACAACGTGGCAATGCTGCCAGCCTTCGTGGTACTTTCCTCACTGACGTCGATGCGGACGAATTTTTCGATGCTTTATGTAAATAGTTGTTTTTAGATTTATTTTAATTATTTTTTCTCTTAAGTTATATATATTTATATATTTCATTTAGTAATAGTTAGTATTAATTTTATTTAAGTTTTTACTGAAATAAATGATTATCTTTCATAAGTGTAATAACAAGAAATTAATAAGATAGAACATGTTGTACCTTCACCTATAGACAACTATACAAATAGAGAAGATTTCAGAAGTGACTGGTCTCTATGTAATACACAATACACATAATTATCATATAAAGCAATAAATACTTTGATTTAAACCCTCTCCGTTAAAGCTGATGAAAGGAAACAAATAACAGACAAGACGAAGCTAAAGAGACAACATTTATTAAATAATTATTGTATTAACTACGTTTAAAAAAACGACTTCACCCCCATTTTATTCCCCATTAGTTAACCCGTTGAGCGTCCGCGTTCCTCATGTGTTTCCTTATTCTTTTTCATGCAAGAAAATGCATTTATTTGGCCATTGGCACACGAAAACACATTACAATAGAAATAAAACAAATACAGTCAAAATAAAAACAAAACATTAATAATAGATTTTATAAAAGAGAAAGCAGCATGGAGCATTTTTTCTTATGATCCACCGGGTGCATAAGGACGCTCGAGGGGTTAATATACTAAAACCTTCTCCTAAGTGTAACAAACACTTTTCTGAAAACCTCATCGGAATCAGTTCAGTCAATCGTGAGACAATCGCGAATAAACACATATATACATACATACATACAGGTCCAACTGAGAACCATCTTCTTTTCTTTTTGAAGTCGGTTAAATAAACAAATAATCAGACTACTTTTTAACCTTATTATAGTTTTTAACATAAATAGGGTGTTCCCCAGTTTTAATGAAAGACGGAGTAGCATTCACACACGCTTCGTCTTCGCTCTTGTAGCAATGTTCTTCTACGAGGATTTTGTCCGTTTCACATTCACAGATATAGCAATTGTCAGTTAGTTTGCCTGGTTCCTCACATCTGTGCATCGTGTGGTTATGAGGTATCGTCACTTGAATCGGATATTTGAGGGTTACATTCACCGTCGCATTAACTGTTATAAAGAATTTAGGGTCATTATAATTAGTTTAATCTACTGCCGGAATACTGAAACGTTACTCAATTTTAAGTCGTGCTCAAATATCGTGCCATCTCTGTCCTTTTACAAAGAATTTGCAGAGATAGAACTATACTTAAGCACGACTTAAAATTGAGTAGCGTTTCAGTATTCCGACATACGTCTCTTATGCCGAATACTGAATGATTTTATGTTTTCGGCTGTCCCACGTAACTGTTTGACAAGGTACTCGACTAGTTTCAAGCCAGGCTAGACAGTCATGTTCATGTTTTGTATGTTCATCATCATTTCAATATATTGTGGACATTGCTGAACATAAGTTTCCCCAAAAGTTATGCATATATTTTAAGTTACTTTTTTATAGCTATTATAAGTGATAGAATATCAGTGTGTAAAACGACTACGTAATGTTGGTTTATTGATTTGGTAAGCAAGCAGTTCGAGATGCAGATTGGTCAAACCATTCTCAGGGAAGCAGGTTTCCTCAAAAATGATGACATGACTAAACTAAGAATTTTCTATCTGGTCAGCAACGCCTTTAATTAGGATACCTCTGGTGTTGCACTCGTGTACGATCAAAGGTCAAAAGTCCACCGTAAGACTACTATCGGTTGCGCTGCAGCGCTTATACACACATGCACACGCATATTTTTATCCGTGTGCGTACGCGTGCGTGTGTTTATGCGTACGCACGTGTTTTTATGCACATTAATATGAAACAATTTACGCATTGCCGTGTGAACATCACTCACGGTGGCAGTGGACTTTTGACCTATGACTGTACATATAGGTTACAGGAACTGCTTAACTACTACCTAATGGCTTGGTAGCTAACGATAGTATTAGGAAAAAGAAAGAATATATTACCATTTCCAATTCTCCTGCCCATGGGAACGTAATTGAAATTTGGGAACGCCTGTTCACAATATTGATTCGGTGGCAGCGGTCGACAGAAGTAGTTGATGTTGCCCATGTAAGGACAGATGCAAACACGACACCTTTGGGATCAATCCAAATTATTAATAAATCGTCTCTTCATTTTCTTTCGATAAACTTTGAGATGGACTAGGTGTCGATGCAAAAGACATTACAGTTTGGACATGGGAACCGCCGGCAACTATAGCAATGGACAACATATTTAATTATGAAATCAGGGGCATTTTTTTATTTTTTATGCCATAAGCTGGTATACGAGCAGACGGATCACCTGATGGTAACCAATCGGCATCGCCCATGGACACCTGGAACACCAGAGGCGTTACAAGTGCGTTACCGGCCTTTTGGGGATTAGGAGTTTGGGAAAGATTGGAGGGGAGGGTAATTGGGCCTCCGGTAACCTCACTCACACGACGAAACACAACGCAAGCGTTGCTTCACGTCGGTTTTCTGTGAGGCCGTGGTATCACTCCGGTCGAGCCGGCCCATTCGTGCCGAGGCATGGCACGGAGTTTTCGATTCTCGTTCCATAGGCGTGAGTATATTAGAGTAATTTTCCACTCAACAGTTTGCTTTCGAAATGTGTTTCCTTATATCCCCGAAAGGGTAGGCAAAGGGGCGCGTTACGACACTATGCCATAGTTCAATGTAACACCCACTTTTCGCTATTTATGTTACGAGTCCCATGTAATAGGGGGTGAGCCTATTGCTATATGCCAAATACTGGGCACAATTCCAGACTCCGTGCTACTAATGAGATTAGAAAAAAAAACCCAGTAATATTTTGCCCGACCCGGTAATCGAACCCAAGACCACTTGCCACTTACGACCACTCGGCCAGAGTAAGTAGTTTTTTTTATATCTTTATCATTATTACATAACTACCAGTATTGATTGATCTCTCTAACAGTCCAACCTTACCTTATAATATATTGCGATCCTGGCGTACAAATATGTCTCTCAGAACTGTCGGTGACATTGTAAGTGATACAGTTTTCTCTTCGTGTATTGATTATTGGTTCTTCCTCTTCTTCTCTCAGACTGGCTTCTCCATCATCAGCATCCCTTACTTCTTCATCACTACCAGATTCAGTGTTAGTACTAACAAAATCGTAGCCAAATGTATCTTCATTATAATCTCCTCTTAAAACACTCAGCGGTTTGGACTACAATTTAAAGGAATATCGTTTTCGTATGATTTGCTTTTTATAGTTTTTTTTTTAGAAAAATAGTTATTGTTAAGCAAAGAATTAGGATAAGCGTAACACATTGGGGTTGATTTTACCATGAATTCTTACAGACACCATCTTTTAAGAACCAATCAATTGAATTAATTGTTTAGTAATCAGAAAATAGTAAAAGATGAACTGAAAAACAGGTTAGTATTGATTGAATATAGAAAGTTAGAATTGTTGTGATAACTAGTAATAGGGATGATGACAGGGTATGAAAATTAAAAATATAATTAGTCCGTCAGTTAGGTAATGAAAAAATTTTAGACACGTATTTTTTTATTTTGTCGTATAAAAAAACAAAACAAATCAAAGTTTAGGAGTAGGAGGTAGCTACGTCATTTTATAGTACTCAAAAGTCACGTCATGCGATATTTAAAATCAATATATCTTCGAAACTATTCGTTTCTGTAAGAAAATAAGAAATACGTGTCTAATATTTTTAATCTACCAGACGTATCATCTATCGTATTAGCAAAATATACAATTAAATGAATAAAAATAATCAAATGGATTTCTTGATATTTATTGACATACCTAATAATAATAGATTAGTTACAATAACATTTAATACGCCTAAACGGCAATATATATTTCCGAAATGACAACATTATTCATCGTTTCTCTCAAAGTTTAATAATCGAGGACCAATAATATTAAATTAAATATCATATAGATTTCATCACAAGAGAAGAAATATCAACAAGCTTAAACCATAACCCTTCATAGGCTTACTTTACCACACACAAATACAATATGTCAACGTTTTAGTATACATTTTTTAAACAGTGTGTTATACAGTATTTATAATTACTATTAGTTATTTATTTTATATTTTTTTTTGCATATTACATCAGCCCATTTTCGTTGACTCTATATTTAACCCAAAGGTTGTCAGGGAGAAAATGCCATATTGCATTAAGTCCGCCTTATGTACCTTATTTTGTGTGCATTTACCTAAGTGTTAAATAAATAAATAAAAAAATAACGTTGTCTCATACGCGTTCTAGTCATCGTAGGTTATGATTCAAATTCGTCGATTGTACATCATACAATATTATTAAAACAATAGGATTAATCTACAGAGATGATGCTATTATACGTCATTTTGCATTTCACGATCACATGTCAGTTCATCCTGAATTTTGGATTTCCTTATGGGCTTGTAATCCCAGTCTGCGAACAGAAGAAAAATTACGCTGCTACGAGGTTAAAAGTTAATACGAAAATTATGACGATACCAGAATTAATATTACATAGCTAACGTAATTGTGAAATGCAGTCGACTTTATCTGAGAATTTTTTAAAAGGACATCTAGTAACAGTATAACACAGATGTCATCGATATACAATTATGAGATCTATTTCTAAAAGACAGCCCCATCAGTCAATCTGCAGGGTAAATTCCACGTGGCTTTCTTACACGGTTTTAAATTAACGACAAACACCCCAACATCCGTAACGCCTTCCAAAGGTTCCACTAACAAGTTCTGTTGCATTTAAGCTTGTAATAAAAACTACTTATCATGAGTCTGTCAGAATTTAACACCACAAACAGTAGGTACTTCTTTCTATTCGAATGATTCGTCTCTATCGTTACTTACTGTACTAATAATTTTCGATTTCTCACATGTCGTGGGAGTACATGACGCATACTCTTTCAAACCCACGTCTGGACAAATACAGATTTTACAATCTGATTGAAATTCCTCACCAGGAAAACAAAGATTCAGATTTTTCGTCGAATCTTCCACCACCTGGTTGCCTGAAAGATTCTGTGATAGCTTAAATATCTTCTTCCACGGCGTGTCTGATTCGGAGCATGTTCTGTTCGTGCAAGCTTTGTCCTTCTTATCCCCGTTTGGAGGACAGACGCAGATGTTGCAGTCGTCACTGAACAGCTCACCCGGAGAGCACGAATCAGACCTCAAGAAATTAGTCTCACACTGATTTTTAGTGCATTTGTTCACATTTTTGATACCCTCAGTTCCACAGAAGCAAATGTTGCAGTCGACGGTATAATAGGATGAAGGTTCACAAGCAAATTCATTAACGACCGACTTATATTTACCGCTACAAGTGTTGTTGGTGCACGCTCTGTCCTTCATTAGTCCTGATGGACTACAAATACAAAAGTTACAATCTACTTTTGTGATAGATCCCGCAACACATGTAGCCATCGTTTCTGTTTTTACGGGTTCATTGCGACTCCTGTGCGACTCTTGTATTGTGTTCTTAGCTTCACAGTCATCAAACGTGCACCATTTTGCGTCGATTTTTCCATCTTTTGTACAATAACAAGTGTTACATCCGAATTCAATGAATGTATTTGGTTCACAAGTTACATTGTAATCAATGATGGATGTTTTATCTATTAACACTCTCTGAGTTCTCTTAGGAGCACTAATTATATCAGTGACTGAAGTGCAGAGTTTGAGATTAACATTACCGTTTTCAGGACATAAACAATATCTGCCCTGGTCGAGTATAAGTGAATTAGGGTCGCAAGTGTCAGCTCCAATTACTTCCTTTACAGTATTTCGTTCTATGGAAGTGATTGTGTCCTTCAACACTCGTTCTAGCATAATTAGCTTATTTTGGAACGAGCAGACTCTCGTACAATACTTTTCTGTAGTGAGACCGTTTCGAGGACAAAAGCATTCCACACAAGTAGGCACCAGCTCTCCAGGATTACACGTACTTTTAACAGAGTCATACTTGAAGTCTTGAATTTTCAAACATTCTTGTTCTAGGCAACTGCTTTCGTTTACTACGCCCTGTGAGTTACATTCACAATAAATACATTTAGGTTTCGTATATTTATTTGGTGTACACGCCATTGTGATATTTCTCAGATTAGCTAACGTAGTGAGTGGATTGAGTTTCTTGTTACAATTCGTTTTCGTTCTCATAGTTTCATCAGGTACACCGGTCTCTGGACACCGGTGAACATTGCAATCGACACGATAAAAAGTTCTGGGTATGCATCTCCTTGCTGATTTCGGGAGCTTATGACAAGTTTCGACACATTTGTTCTGAATAAAATAGCCTTCATCAGAACATAAGCAATGTAGACAGCTAAACAAGTACATGACCTTTGGTATACAAACGTTCTGTGTAATCATATCGAGGGAGACATTGGGACCTTTAAGGGAACATGAGGAGTCAGTGGCACAGCGGGCTTCTGACATCTTTCCTGACGCAGGGCACACACAAAGACTGCAATTGATGTAATAGGACCTGAAGGGAGTACACCACAATTCGGACCCAATTTCAAAATTAGTCGTGTTCTTCTTCGTTGCATCATCAGTGCATTCTGTGTCTGTGCAGAGGAGCTTCCCATTGTCCTGACAGATGCATTGGCTACATTCCTCCCATATTATCTGGCCTGGTTGGCAGGTTTGCCGTCGTCCTATCGTCTGACATGTGCCCTCGCTCCAACGGCCCATACTGTTGCAGTAACATAGTCGGCCATTCATTAAGAACTGTGTATTTGGCATACATGTGTCTGTAGACAAATTAAATGTTATAGTATACAAATGGACATAAATTAGGAAGAATTACGGCTAGTTTCACCACTCTCAGGCTATCCAGAGATTGTGAAAGAGGCCATTAAAATAAAATAAACTTACGATAACTGGCTTCCCCAAGGAGGGTTTTTGTGAACAACGTAACAAATACTACAGCTATAAACATTACGACTGTAACTAAAATGGCGCCTTCCAAAATTATATGAACCAGTTTCGACTTGATTTTAACAAATGAAACTGCAACTCCATTAAACTATGTTCAATATTTCTAGAAAATCGTATGGTTACGTAGAATCTGGAAGGATGTAAAACAATTATTTATGTGTTCTTTTTATGATGCAACGTTAGTCGAAAAATTAATTGATTTTTGCTTTAAGATTGATTCATATTTTCAACTGCTTTTTACATTAAAAATAATTATGCAGGAATTTTTCTTCGTTCTTATGTTGCGTAATTAATAAGATGGCGGCCGAATACAATAGAATGCACTACCACAAATGTTCCTATCTATCTAATACCTTTAAACGAGCAAATAAAATATAAAATATAATATTATATATATAAGATTTGTTCGTCTCAACGAACTCGATTTCATTGAAACTTATTCAGGAGGTTTCGGGGGCGATAAATCGTTCATACAGGTTTGTTTCATTTTCAGAAAATGTTGTTTTTATTGAATACTTTATTTACCTCTATAATGCTAAATAAAGTATAGAAAAAACAGTGCAAAACTTTTTGTTCTGTTTTTTCTTTTCCAAGCAAAGCTCGTCGTCCAGGTACTGTGGATTTTTTTATGGCATAAGCCGGTAAACGAGCCTACGTATCACCTGATGGTAAGCATCGGCGTCGCCCATGAACACCTGTAACTCCAGAGGCGTTACAAGTGCATTACCGGCGTTTTGGGGATTAGGAGTTTGAGGATTTGGGGATTGGGGAGATTGGGAAGGGGGCGGGGGGTGTAATTGAGCCTCAGGTAACCTCACTCACGACGAAAGACAACGCAAGCGTTGCTCCATGTCAGTTTTCTGTGAAGCCGTGGTATCACTCCGGTCGAGAGGGCCCATTCGTGCAGAAGCATGGCTCTCCCACACTTATACTTGTTTAGTAACAGATGACTAATGGACTAAAGGATATTAAATAGAAACTGAGCATCACTCTCTAATAAATTTGAGCACGATATGCCCAAATAACGGCGGGAGGGGTTACCATCGGCGTCGAGACGGCGATGAAGTACCTAGGACTCGTCCTCGACAGTCGGTGGAACTTCATAGAGCATTTCCGACGTTTGGCTCCAAAGTTGGAGAGGACGGGGGCTGCGTTCAAACGCATCCTCCCCAACCTCGGGGGGCCAAACGCCTCCTGCCGGAGGTTATACGCCGGGGTCGTGCGGTCCATGGCCCTCTACGGCGCCCCTGTTTGGGCGCCGAACTTGTTGCGGCGTCCTGCTCGGACGCTGCTCATGTCACAGAGGGTCATGGCGATCCGAATGATCCGCGGATACCGCACGATCTCTGGGGAGTCGGCGAACCTCCTTGCCGGATTACCGCCGTGGGATCTGGAGGCGAAGGTGCTCGCGCGCGTGTATCGCATGCGCGCGGAGGCACGTCGCCGGGGCGAAACTCCGCTGCCGCGCCAGATAAGTGCGTGGCGGGATGAGCTCCGGCGCGATCTCATGGCGGAATGGCAGCAACGACTGTCGCAACCGAGGGCTGGGCTCGCTGCCATTGCAGCGGTAAGTCCCCTCTTTGAGGAGTGGCTTGAGAGACGCTACGGCGTCCTCACCTACCGCCTGACGCAGGTCCTCACCGGACATGGAAGTTTCGGGAGGTACCTGTGTCTGATGGGGTGGGAGGAAACGCCCGGGTGTCATCACTGCGAGGACCGCCCTGAGGACACGGTGGAACACACAGTGGGAGAATGCCCTGCGTGGGCTGAGCACCGCCGTGCCCTCAGGGAAGTGATCGGCGATGGCGACCTCTCGCGTCCGGGCCTAGTGCAGGCCATGATGCGGAGCGAGGGGGACTGGGATGCCGTCTCCTCCTTTTGCGAAGCAGTCATGCTAGCTAAGGAGGAGGCGGGACGCGTGAGGCAGCGAAGCGCTGCCTCCTCGCAACCCAGCCATCGCGAAGGACACACCGGGCGTCGGGGATCGCGGGACGATCTCCGGCCACCGTAAGCGCGGGCCTGCGGACGGCGAGCATGGGTGGCTCCCCGTCCGACCAGAAACAGACCCGAGCGTACGGCGCGTCGCGTTCCGCGCGCGCCTCAAAGAGCCATCAGACCACCACAGATGGGGCCCAATAGGGCCGATGCCGATTCGGAGTCGCGGAGAACCTAACGGGTAACCGGGGCTCCGGCTCGACGTGCAGGAGAAGGAACGGGGTGGTTTTTAGTCAGTAAGAGTCTGACACTCCCTTCCGCCTCACCCAGGCGGGAGCAGTCATTCGATGATTTTCCCCCCTTAAAAAAAAAAAAAAATGCCCAGGGCCGTCTTAGACTACGCTGGGGCCCTTGGACACACAAAAATTCGGGGCCCTTATGAAATCTTTCTTTTTTTAACTTTGCGCCACACTAGGATTTTCTCCTGTATCGTGGTTGTATTTACGCAGGCTCGCCCAAAGTTATTCGAGCGCCCGCGTGCAAATACCGAATATGCCGCCCCCCTTTTTGTTAGGTGGGTACAAAGTCATCAAATGACTCTAGAGGAAGTGACTCTTACAACTCTTACTTACTTAAAACCACCCCATTCTTTCCAACACTTGCTCAAAGCCAGGGCCTCAGTACCCATATGACAAGATTGAAAGGCCCAGGATTGTTGCCTTGCTGGAGGGTAGACACGCTACATTCATTCCCCGTCTATAGTGTTCTGTTGGTTCTTTGAGGTCCGCATTTTACGCAACACGCTGTACGCTCGGGTCTAGTACTTTTTTTTTTTTAATGGGACAAGCCCGCCACAACCTCCCACAACCGCTGCAACTCCTGTAAGCCAGGATCTACAGTAGATACAACCATGAAAACACCGGAACATTGAAGTCCGGCGCGTCCCAGGGACATGAGTATCTGTCTTGGTTGGGTTCTTGGGTCTAGTACTTGTCAGGTGGTGAACTATCCTTGCTTGCCATCCGCAGACTCGCGGACTCTTACGGTGGCCGGAGATCCCGACAACGCGATACTACACCCAATGCGTCTCTGGCTACCTCTCGAAAATGATACTCGATAGATTTCGAGTTACTCTAGAAAGTAATCGAGGACGCTCGATAGCTTTCTAAAAAGTGATCGAGGACGCTCGATAGATTTCAAGGACGCTCGAAGGTGATCGAGGACGCTCAATAGATTTCGAGGACGCTCGATAGTGATCGAGGACGCTCGAAAGTGATCGAGGACGCTCGATAGTTTTCGAGGACGCTCGAAAGTGATCGAGGACGCTCGATAGTTTTCGAAGACGCTCGAAAGTGATCGAGGACGCTCGATAGTTTTCGAGGACGCTCGATAGTTTTCGAGGACGCTCGAAAGTGATCGAGGACGCTCGATAGTTTTCGAGGACGCTCGAAAGTGATCGAGGACGCTCGATAGTTTTCGAGGACGCTCGAAAGTGATCGAGGACGCTCGAAAGAGATCGAGGACGCTCGATAGCTTTCGAGGACGCTCGATAGTTTTCGAGGACGCTCGAAAGTGATCGAGGACGCTCGATCGATTTCGAGGACGCTCGATAGTTTTCGAGGACGCTCGATAGTTTTCGAGGACGGTCGATAGTTTTCGAGGACGCTCGATAGATTTCGAGGACGCTCGAAAGTGATCGAGGACGCTCGATCGATTTCGAGGACGCTCGATAGATTTCGAGGACGCTCGAAAGTGATCGAGGACGCTCGATCGATTTCGAGGACGATCGATAGTTTTCGAGGACGCTCGATAGATTTCGAGGACGCCCGATAGATTTCGAGGACGCTCGAAAGTGATCGAGGACGCTCGATAGATTTCGAGGACGCTCGAAAGTGATCGAGGACGTTCGATAGTTTTCGAGGACGCTCGATAGATTTCGAGGACGCTCGAAAGTGATCGAGGACGCTCGATCGATTTCGAGGACGATCGATAGTTTTCGAGGACGCTCGATAGATTTCGAGGACGCTCGAAAGTGATCGAGGACGCTCGATAGTTTTCGAGGATGCTCGATAGTTTTCGAGGACGCTCGATAGATTTCGAGGACGCTCGAAAGTGATCGAGGACGCTCGAAAGTGATCGAGGACGCTCGATCGATTTCGAGGACGCTCGATAGTTTTCGAGGACGCTCGATAGATTTCGAGGACGCTCGAAAGTGATCGAGGACGCTCGATAGATTTCGAGGACGCTCGAAAGTGATCGAGGACGCTCGATAGTTTTCGAGGACGCTCGATAGTTTTCGAGGACGCTCGATAGTTTTCGAGGACGCTCGATAGTTTTCGAGGACGCTCGATAGTTTTCGAGGACGCTCGAAAGTGATCGAGGACGCTCGAAAGTGATCGAGGACGCTCGATAGTTTTCGAGGACGCTCGATAGTTTTCGAGGACGCTCGAAAGTGATCGAGGACGCTCGATAGTTTTCGAGGACGCTCGAAAGTGATCGAGGACGCTCGAAAGAGATCGAGGACGCTCGATAGGTTTCGAGGACCCTCGATCGATTTCGAGGACGCCCGATAGATTTCGAGGACGCTCGATAGTTTTCGAGGACGCTCGATGGATTTCGAGGACGCTCGAAAGTGATCGAGGACGCTCGATAGCTTTCGAGGACCCTCGATCGATTTCGAGGACGCCCGATAGATTTCGAGGACGCTCGATAGTTTTCGAGGACGCTCGATGGATTTCGAGGACGCTCGAAAGTGATCGAGGACGCTCGATAGTTTTCGAGGACGCTCGATAGATTTCGAGGACGCTCGAAAGTGATCGAAGACGCTCGATCGATTTCGAGGACGCTCGATAGTTTTCGAGGACGCTCGATAGATTTCGAGGACGCTCGAAAGTGATCGAGGACGCTCGATAGATTTCGAGGACGCTCGAAAGTGATCGAGGACGCTCGATAGTTTTCGAGGACGCTCGATAGTTTTCGAGGACGCTCGAAAGTGATCGAGGACGCTCGATCGATTTCGAGGACGCTCGATAGTTTTCGAGGACGCTCGATAGTTTTCGAGGACGG